ATCCATGGTACCTCTACCAATACCTAAACAAGTGTTCCATTTCTTAGCATCACATTTATATATCGAGGGACCTCAACATTTACCTCCATCTCCACACAAATCTTTGCATATGCTAGCCTCTTACAATTTGCTATAATTTTATCCATGTACAGTGGTACACAAATCACACTTTTTACATAGCTTAGCCCTTTCTTTGTGTATAACTCCAATGGCACATTATTCAAATGTATCCAAACAAGTAACCTGTTCATCTGAAACTCTAAACTTTTCATCTTTGGTTCCTATTTTTGAACTATGATAGGCTTGTTCTGAATATGCCAAGGCCTTGATTTTAGTACTCTATCACGATTCAACTCAGAAGAGAATTGCAATAAGAACAAGTTATTCCCTATTGGTTTGATCATAATCGTTCCCTTATTTCCCTGCAAGATACTAAGTAGTCACTGAAATTGGCTAAAGTTAGGTGTCTTACCAATAAATTAAGCCACCAATGAGTTTCGCCATTGATGCACTCCTTCTTCAAAAAATCATCCGATGGCTTCACCAAGATCTTTCCATTTTCTTTCTGTAGGAGGGGGGGAAACTACAATGATTGATCTTTCAACACCGAAAAAAGATTTTTCTAATCTACAACTATCTTTTGCTTATAAGCTCCATTCGTGAAGCCTGCATTGCTAGTATTCGGTGATCCTTCCATGTTAACCTCACAAATCGACAAGATGATAACAACAAAAAAATGAGTGGTTCAACAAGAAAATTAATAGTTTAAAATGAAAAAAATGATAGTTGGTTGAGAAAATTTTCAACGTAATAAAGACCCACTCACATGAGTTGAGAGAATTTTTCCCATCTTTTCATGGGTGGATAGAATTTTATTTTTTTATCTTTTTTATTTTTTTTAACTTCTTTACCTTCAATCTCCAACGGAGATAATACTTAGCCTTCATTTGTGCTCGATAAGGGTTAAAGTGCATCCCCAATCTTGTTCATCATTCCTCTTTTCATTCTTTTCTCTTCATCTCTCTTTCTCTCTTTCTTATTTATAGTTGTGCATATCCATTGTCTAAGATTGAAACTTTCAATCAAATCTAAAACTTACATATGCAAATTTCAACAAAAACCATTCAAATTTTAGCTTAAATCAACTCATTTTTTCTAGAAAAAAGAATTTCTTAATTTTTTTAAAAAGACATTGTAAAATAAAATAATTGGTACTAGATAAAGTAGATGAAGAATAAAAAAGGCCCCAAGTCATATGTTGCAATATCAACAATCAAAATAAAAAAATAAAAGGTTTTTGCCATATAAATTTCTTTTAAAAAATATCATTTTTTCCTCGCCCCTTTTGCTTACATATTTCTTCAAAATTATATTTTTGTTTTTGGATAATTAGGTGATTTTATATATCCAAAGAATCAAAATATTGTTACATCAAAATTATTCTTACCGAAATAACCAAATACAAGAATCAAACTTGAGTAGGTTCCTTTAAACCCAAAGCAATGCAGACATTGTTATTAACACAGTTTACTGTGAAATGAGTTAACCCTAAAACCTTAATCTGACCACTTCTTTAATATGACTAAGAACTTGTACGAAAGATTCTTGCAACTTTCCATATAACCTATTGTTTCTCTCTCTACACATGATAAATATGAGCATAGTAGCATACCATGCTATCCTTAATATAAAGGAAATTAAGGATTTACCTTTTAGCTTTCCACTGCCCAGTGCAATTCATCCTCCCTTCTAAACTCACATTCAAAGAATATGTGATCTCTAGATTCCTAACTTGTGCAACAGAGTAAACATGTAGCATTAATTTCATAGCCCAAGAGTGTAACCGATCTTTAATAGGCAATTTGTTAAGAATCGCTATGCAGGAGATCACTGCATGCATAGGAATATGGTGGGTGAGCCATGGCAGATCATCCCAACTAATTTTTGGTTAAGTCAGCCTAATCTAATTCCAGATCTTAGCCATGAATATCTAGAACCATGAAACTTCTAACTAGTTATCCCTTTATGTTGTGTTGTAAACTAAGAAATTAAAGTAATGTTTGGTTTCCAAAAATAGAGTTATTTTTTATTTTCATTTTCTTAAAAAATAAAAAATATAAGTGAAAACGTATTTGGTAATTAAAAATAAAAATAAGATTTTAAAAAATAAAAAAGAAAGTGGGTTGAAATATTAAAACAAAACAATGTTTTCATTTATGAAAATAAGAGATGTATATTATTTTTTCTTATATATTGCAAGTTATCATATTTAAATACTTTTTAATGTCATTAATTAATAAATATATATTATATTTACATTTAGATGATATTAATAGTAATATTATTGAATATTTTATTTATTTATTTATATATTTTAGAAAATAATTTTAATTTTTATTTATCAAATATATTTTTTTAAAAAATAAAAATAAAAACATAAAAACATAAAAATATGAAAATATAAAATATAAAATATAAAATATTTTCGCTAACCAAACGTGATTAACGTAATCGTAGTAATTTCCTCCAACTCCAATTATAGTTTTGGATTTCAAACTTATGTCAAATGGTCTTTCCTTTAAGAACCAAAGCCTCGATCCAAGAAGTCCAAATTGAGCCCGCTTCTGACAACAAGTCCCAAATTTATTGGATGCTGCAGGCTATGTTCCTATTATAAAGATCTTTAATTTCAAGCCCACTTTCATACTTGGGGTGCGAAATGAATTGCCAACGTACCCGAGCGCCATTTGTACAATATTTTTTCCTCGGAAAAAAGTTTCTTCTTTTCCTTTTTTTTTTTCTTTCTTCCTTCCACTTTTCTTTTTTTATTTTTAATTTTTCCTCGCCTAATACTCCAATATAAGCTTCCTTAATTTTTTTTAATTTTCTCTCTCTGGTCATTTGCTCACAAATTCGAAATTTACTTGGCAAAAAAAACCCCACCTCTCTGGAACCTTCATTTTCTTTATCCACAGATTTTTTTTTTTAATTTTAAGCCTTATCTAAAAATCTCCAATTTCTTTTAAAAATTAAATTTTTTTATATCTTAGAAAAATCACGTGTTTTACAAGAATGAGGTGCAAGCAAAATTTATTATTATTATTATTATGACGTTGATTACAAATGAAATTGAAAATAAATAATTTATTTGGGTTATATTTGATGTATAAAATTATTAGAAAATAAAATATTTAAAGAGAGAGATAAAAATAATAAAGAGGATTAATATTTTTTTGATATAAAATTATTTAATTTTATCAAAGTGAAAATGATTATTTTTAATTTATAAAATTAAATTTATAAATTTTATTATATTTTTAAAAATTATATTAATAATTTAAATTATATAAATTTTGAAAAAAAATAATTTTGATAAATAAATAAATAAATTATTTTATTTTAATTCGTAAATATATTAAATATAAAATATTATTTATAATATTATATTATTTTATCATGTGTATAAAATATAATCTTATGAAATAATATATTATAATAGGTAGTAAATGGATAGCTTCCAGGCAAAATATGTATTGTTTATATTTTGTTTATAAGGTCCCACCACCGAACTAATTCCGAACTCCAATGGAACATAGATTTTGAGATTCTCAATCCCACCTAGTGTTGGCAACGGGGCGGGACGGGTCGGTTTTTTGCTGTCTTCGCCTCCGATCCGAAGTTTTCATAGTTTTACTCGATATCCGATCCGTACTCGCTCAGAAGTTATAATTAAAATACTCGAACCCGACTCGCTAAGCATATTATTATCCGAATTTTACTCGATCCGACAGTTTTATTTTCACTTAACGAATTTATTTGGTTGGCAGTTTACATTGGCATATATTCCTTGTCCTTTTGATGATTCTGATCAGTCTGTGGAGAGAATTTTGTAGTGAACTTTATTCTCAATCCCTCCACATGCCTTGCATGGCTACACCAGCTTTTATCATTGTTAAATCTGCCGAGTTTCCAATGCCTTTCCATTGAAAATTTGATGGTTTTTTCTATGGGACTAATGAAATCTGGGGGTGAGGTTTTTGGCATGGCAGACCTTTTATAATCATATTAGAGTTGAATATTTTTTCCAAACGGATCACTTTGGTTTTGCATCAATGTAACACAAGTGCCAAAATGTTAAGATTTTTCTCTTACTTATGAGTGAAATTTTATTGCTGGCAAAAATCTCGGTAAAATACTATTTTTGTATATTTAAACTCTTTAGACTGAAAGCGTTGATTTTCAAGTTCAAACTATCTACAATTTCATTATGTTTGTTTAAATAAGCTTTGAGGGTTTTACCTGAAAAACGTAAGTTACTTGACAAAACGGAAGAGTCAAGCGAAAACTTTAAATCTCAAAGTTTAGTAACAGCAGTCAAATACTCAACTCACCTTTTCTTTCAAGTGAAATGCTTTGTCGATCTCACTTCCCAAGAGTCGATTGGTATGAAACTAGCATGTTTGCTTAGCCTTAGTCCGCCCAAGCGTTTTCGTTCGCCTCTTTCCTCAGCGGCGCCATTACAATAGACTGGACAAGATGAGAATCGATTAGCGTGCCTTTCCTAAAAAAAGGGGATACTATTATTGGGTCAAGCTGTGCCCTATTAGTGAGTCGACAGGAGGTAGAGATCGAGCAGGTAAGAGGCAAAACTGCAGAAAGAGATAAGGTCTCATTGTGTAAGGAGATCGGACGGGCTGGAGGCAGAACTGTAAAAGGAAATAAGAAGGCTGTGTGAGGAGATCGGGCTCGAGCGGGTAAGAGGCGCAAACTGCAGAAAGAAATGAAAAACCTTAAAAAAAATTTACATATATATAATAAGGGTATTTTTGTAAATATTTCAGGTCGGTAGGGTCGAGTTTAATATAAAATCGACTCCAACCTGAAATTGTTTTTCTAAAAAATAAAATCGATCCCGACCCGACTCAAAACCCATTTTTTTCAAAAAAATCCAATCCTAAATGACCGGGTCGGCGGTTTCGGATGGATTTGCCGACCCTAATCCCACCCACTTTTCAAAAAAAAAAAAAAAAAACCTACTATAAATTCTCCCAAATATTCTTCTACTCTTTACCTTCATCCATACCCATAGTTGCGTTGCAGCATCAATTCTTTCTTTGCCAAACAAAAATCTATATATTTTGAAGAAAATTTTATTAATTTAGAAAGAAAGAGATGCAGATCTTTGTGAAGACGCTTACAGGAAAGACTATTACTCTCGAGGTTGAGAGCTCCGATACTATCGATAATGTCAAGGGCAAGATTCAGGTTTTCCTTCTTTTGCCCTCTCTCTTGTTGATCTTTATGCTATTTTTTTCTCTGGGTTTTTTTAAAGAATTAGCTTTATACTCTTATTATTGACTTTCTGTTTGGTTGACGAGAAAAGTACAGAAAAACAATAGGAAAGCTAAAGAAAAAGAATTAGAACTTAAATTATTCGGTGGATATATGGAAAATATGTTTTTATTGAAAATTTCCCCTCTTTTATGGTAAATTTGTACAATTAACTATTAACAGTGCTTTATGCTGTGATGCTGCTAATGCTAAGTTTGAATTGAAATGGTTTGAATTCTGATGCTTATATTCTACAGAAATGACACAGATTCAATCTAGGATGAGATACTTTCATATTCAGTGGTAGAAAAGTTGTGATGTAGTATTGCTGTATTCTTGATTTGCATATAACTTTTCTGCTATTGAACAGCGTGGGAAGTTGATGTTGTACTGTTGAGTTAGACAATTTATGACCTAACTTATATCTTAAGAAGCTTGGATTTGAAAATTTTCATAGCTGAGATACCTTGATTTAACTTCCATGGTTGTAAAAATTGTGATTGTCTCCCAAGATTAATGAGTGAAGCAATCTAATGTTAACAAAATTGGCAAGAATTTCTCTAACTTTTCTTCTTGTTTGCACTGTATGGCAAGGCTTGAGAGGGGTCTGTGTTAAACTTCTTTTCTTTTTTTTTCTCTTCCTGTAATTAATCGTTTGATGATGGTGGACTCAACTCTTACAGGACAAGGAAGGAATACCTCCTGATCAGCAGAGATTGATTTTTGCTGGCAAACAGCTTGAAGATGGTCGGACTCTTGCAGATTATAACATCCAAAAGGAGTCGACTCTTCACTTGGTTTTGAGGCTTAGGGGAGGGACTATGATCAAGGTCAAGACTCTCACTGGCAAAGAGATTGAGATTGATATCGAACCCACTGATACCATTGATCGGATTAAGGAACGTGTTGAAGAGAAAGAAGGAATTCCACCTGTGCAGCAAAGGTAGTGATTCTGTTCTCTGGGTCTTTTCTTTCAAAACAGACTTGTATAGGTTCTGCCATTAACACGCTAACTCCTTTTACATTATTATTTTGGTTTAAATTCTATACAACGTTTACCCTGAAAGATGCTTTTTAAGTATAAAATACTCAGGCTTTAGTGGTTCACTTTTGTAATTGCTTACACTTGATGGATCCAATGTATAATCTTTTAGTTGCCTTGATATTGTGATATCTTATTTCACTGATTTTTTCCATGGTTGTAGGCTCATCTATGCTGGCAAGCAGCTTGGAGATGACAAGACGGCTCGTGAGTACAATATTGAGGGTGGCTCTGTGCTTCATCTTGTGCTTGCGCTGAGAGGGGGAAGTCTAATGGTTTAAATTCTATATTTTGCATAATATGGATGACTCTGCATGTTATATGCGATGTTTGATAAACATTATCTGATAGTTTCCTTGACATGTTATAGACATGTTCTGTTTTATTAGTAATTTGTGACTCACTCAGGAAACTTAATAGTCTATATTATTCCCCTCCTACTTCCGCTTTGGAACTGGTAACTTTTGAGACAAGCAAAAGAACTAACTTATTTGTGCTTGTATTCCCTTAAAATAAACTTGCGGTTTGTCTTAATAGCTTCATGTATGTTATGGTTGGTTTGGATTTTCAACTTGAGAATTGCTAATGATTATCATAACAGTAAAGTATAAGTTTATTTAGGCTAAATTTACGGGTTGTTGCGATTGTTTTGTTGTGTTTTATATTTTAGTTTCAAATTTGTGCCTGAACTTTGAAAAAATGTATAAATTGGTACTTGAAGAATTCAAATGTACAATTTACAATTTGAAATTTAAAATTATGTATCGTTTTAATTCAAATTCTAATATTATTAATTTAACATCCTTATATAGAATCAAAACAATGTAAATAAATAGTGTAATTGTATTATATGTATGCTTTCTATTAAATAAAAGTGTTAAATATTTTATAAAAATTTTATGTAGATGTCATATGATAAACAATAATTGATTGATACTAAACAATTTTTACTGTTCAAGTACAAAATATATATTTTAATTTATATTGAAAAAAGATGTTAATACTATGTGTGATGCACACATAACTTATAATATTTGTTAAATGTTACGTGTATAAGTTGATATAATTAACGAAATTAATATAATATAAAATTTAAAAATTCATAATGAAAATTATATATTTTAATTCTTTAGGTATCAATTTGTATATATTTTTTAAAGTAAATATAAAAAATATAATAAACTCTTGGTGAGTGTGTTTTCATTTCAAAAAAAAAAAAAATCCAAAAATCCAAAAACAAAACAAAACACAACTTCACCCACATTGTTTAAAGGTTGTTTATAGCAAGTTTTTTGGAGTTTGATCATCAGAATTTGCAAATTACATTTCCAATTTTCCAAAGACCTTGTTTTCATATGTTAAAAAAATTTAAAAAATATATTTTGAAAATTGGAGAAAAAATAAAAAAATGTTTAAAAAATTGTGAAAATATTTTAGGCACTATTCCTGGTACAGGCATTGCTCATCCGCTCGATTACAGTGGCAATTTTAATGTTTGAAAATAAAAAAAAAAAAAAATTTGCTAATAAAAGAATTCAAATCCACGCCATTTTTCTCTTATAAACTTCTGTTAACAAGTTTTTGTAGCAAAATTATCTATCCAAACATGCTTTTAAATTGAATAAATTAAAAATAAAATAAAAATAAAACAAGGCCAATTTTTCAAAAATATAATATATAACATAAAATTTGCAACAATAGTGAACGACTCCTTAGTTAATAATTGGGTTAATATATATCTTTGTACTGTATATTTTTTTATCAATTTGGTACATAAAAAAATAAAATTTTAACATTAACACTCTAACTTTCATTCTATCAAAAATATTGGTACTTTCGCATTATTATCATTAATTAAGTGGCTAACGAATATGAATATCCAATAAAATCATTCAAATGTCATTAATGTCTAGATATTTTCATGTCAACAAAAAAATTATTTTTTCTCTTTTCAATTCTTTCCTTTTTTATTTTTTTAAATTATAAATTAATTTTTTGAAAAAATTTTTAAATTTTTTATTTAAATGCTAATGTGAAAAATAAATGATGTAACAATGAATAAATATTTATACCACGTGTCATGATTAAGTGTATAATTAATCAAGTTCAAGTCGATATAACATTAAACTCGAACTTGACTCTAAATTCGAGATTTAAAACTCAACTAAAGCTCGATCAAGTTTTATTTTTTTAGCTCGAGAATTAAACTACTTGAACTCGTTTGATTGTACTCGATTAACATGTAAAAATAAGTTTAATTCTTATATTCGATAACAATTAGATTATTTGTACTCGAACTTGAACTCAAGTTCAAGATATTTTATTAATTAAAATAATAATATATTAAAACATAAAAGCTCAATTAGGCTCACAAGTTATTTAAGTCAAGTATAAAAATATTCAAACTTGACTCAATTAATAAGTCGAGCTCAACTCGATAATAACTGAGCAAATTCAAGTTTTATTTGAGTTAAATCCGAATAATTTACGAGTACTAATATATCATTTATAACTCCAATCATAATTTTATTGGGTATTAATGCTAAGTAAGTAAGTTGACTAATAGTATTATACTAAAGTACCAACGTGCTTAATAGAATAAAAGTTTAGGAACTAAAGTAAGAAATTTATTTTTTTAAGTATCAAATTAACAGAAAGTGTATAATAAAAAAGCCATTTTGTATTTAACTCTTAGGGTGTGTTTGGTTTACAAATTTTTAAATTTTGAGAGGGAAAGTGATTTATGTGAGAAAGTGATATTAAAAGAAAATATGTAATTCTTAAGTTTTGTTGACTTTAACGAGTGCAAAATTTTTGTGTCTGGCTAGAAAAATATAAAATTATCTTATAAAATCTTTTATTATATTATCTTTGCTGACACATTCATAACATGTGACATTCATAACATATAACAAGTAAATAACACGTGAATAAATAGATGATTTATTTAAAATTTTATTTATTTAACATGTAAATTGTTTATTTAATATTTTTATTAAATTATTTAAGTAAAATTATTTTAGGTTTTATTGCACATATAATACATGTAATAATAAATTTTATATGTAATAATAAAATTTTATCATAATATAATTTTTTATCATATTTTTCAATAAAAATTGCATTTTTAATGTTAAAAACATCATATTCGTTGAAATTTAAAATCTTAAGAAATAAATTTTTTTTTTTATATTTTCAACAAAAATCGCTTTTTTTATCATAAAAGTGTTATCTTTTGTTGAATTTTGAAAATTAAATAAAAAGCATCGTATAAAATTACTATGTTTCTAAAGTAAATAATGTTGTCTATGTACTCTTAAAATGCAATTAAGTGAAAACGAATGGAGAAAAAACTTTTTACTTTCCTTCTAAAATTCTAAAAAATCTCAATAAAAAAAGAGTTTTTTTTTTAAAATTTTATTTACTTTCTCCTTTTTGACATTGTTAAGAATTTTAGAAAACTTCAAGAATCACATTTCATAAACCAAACTAAAGAATCAAATTACCAAAAATAAAATTATGATCATTAAGATAGGAATACAATACACTGATTGAACAAAAATATATATATACTTTGCACCAATGTAAGTAAGGTCCGAAAAAGGTTTCATAAGATTAAAAAAGGTTCATTGAGTGCCTCAAGGATATGTCATAATAGATTCAAACATTTGCCTCAAATCGACTTCCAAATCATAGTTGCTTTAGTGAATAACTGAAGAAAAAAAAATAGATAGATGAGAGATAGAAGAGAAAGAAACTAATTATAAGCGTCTCTCATAGGTTCACTAATTACTTGACTGTTGGCGGGTCTCTTTGTATGTGTTGTCCGGAAAGAGGAGGACTCAATGATTATTTGTTTTTACTTTCCCCTAAATCACACGCCTTCTTAATAATTTTGCTACTTGTACCAAAAACTGGATTATATAACAATACAATTTTTTAAAGGAATAATGTCGTCAGTGACCCCTAAATTATAATGAAATATTTTATGTAATATTGAGATTTTAAAAGTTTTTAATATGATATTTAAATTTTAAAATCTTTAATATAATACATAAATTATAAATTTATTAATTAATATGATATTTAAAAAATTATTTGTTAATAAATTAAATCATCATTTAGATCTAATCTCATTAAGGGTGTGTACTAAATTAATTAACAAATTTATAACCTAATATCAAATTAAAAATTTTTAAAATTCAAATATCATATTAAATAGTTTATTATAATTAAGAAACTAACTGTGACATTAACTTTTTTTTTTCAACGATAAAAGTTTTAATTAGGCTACTTTATCGGTAGAACAAGAAAAAAAGGCCGTACTAGCTTGTTGTTTTAGCTGTGGGAACTTGAAGATTCTGTAGTTCAGGGCTCCGAAGGATGTTAAACTTACGGCGATTGAGAGCATGTCTTTTTAATTGATATTTGAGGATGAGTTAACTAGAAGAAATATGAGAATGTTGCTAGCTTTAAATGTGATCTTTGATTTAGTGTTTTTTTTTTTTTTTTTTGGGTTCAAAAGTGCTATACTCTTTGTAGACAAAGGTTTAATTTTGCTAAAATTTGATTTTTAAACTTTTAGATAGTAAAAAAAATGATTTGATTTACGGTCAGAAATATTTAATTCTCATAAATAAGATTAGTAAGATGACAAATATATATTAGAATATGTTAAATAATAAAAAATAAATAAATAAATAATATGACAATTTTTAATTTTGTTTATGGAGTTAAAAAAATTATAATCCATAAAAAATAAACTCAAAGTATATGAAAATAGGATATGATCATACAAGTATGTGGATATGTTTTCTAAACTTAGCTCCTTAAATTCATAATCCAATAGCTTAAAAAAGATGATTCCATTTCGAAATTATGTCTCATGTAATTGAATAAAACTAAATTTGGGCTTATAATCTAATTGATTCTTTTGCCCAAGATGATTTTAATTGGAAACCAATTCGTGTATATTAATTGGAAACCAATTTGGGTCACAATGAAGCTGGTTTCAATTTCTTTCAATCTTCATTCTCATCTCTATAGCAATTTTGTTTCCTCTTATATTTTCTCCTTTTCTTACTCCTCTCATATATCTTCCTAGACCAGAATACTTCCTGAATTCCTCTTATAACTCTCTTTTTGAGTCAATTTTGATTGGGTTTTTGTCAATTTGGTGTTTTATTCGATATTCATTTTCTTCATTTGGTGTTTGATTTGGCTCACTTTCTACATTGCCCAAAAGCAGTTGTTTTGAGTGATGGTAAGCTGAATTCATATATAATAAAATATTATATGTTGTCTTTGTAAGGCATTTCATATACATGGCTTTGTATGTAATTATTTAATCTATAAATGCATTCCCCCCCCCATTTACCATAATGTATGCATGACACACCTATCTTGTATCACAAGAAGTAGGTGAAGAAACAACATTTATTTCCAGCATTGCTTTAATAGAAGAAAAAAAAATTAAAAAGCACAAATTCTTGAGAGTTGCTTATAAAAAAATGACATATCGCTTTGATCCTCTCAAACGTGCAAATTAACTTCTGTTTTTTTTTTTATTTTTTGTTTTATACTTAATTTTTGTTTTTTCTTCAATCATCTATATGTTGGTTTAATTTAAATATTTTTATCAGCAACTTTTTTTATTTTATTTTGCAAGGACTTTTAAAACGTTTCTAATTTTTTTATATTTTTAATTGAAAATTTGGAGGAAATTTTTAAAAAATAAAGTTATGTTGGTTCCAAAGTTATAAAAAAAGTGCTCTAATAGCACTAAGGCCAAGTTTAACATTAATGTTGCGATTTAGAAACTCTCAGTTTAAAAATATATATTTAAAAACGTTATTAGAAAAATATATTTTAAAAATTTTAAGTATGTACTATTGTTGTGAAAAAAACAGTTGGTGTATTAAATATCTAAAAAAATATATAAAATAATAAAAGTTTAAAGTTATAGAAAAAAAATTTTATCTTTCAAAGGTGCTATTTAACCATAAACACACTTCCAAGAAATTTTTACTCTGCAAAATCAAACTTTTGATCGTAATATTTAAAATTTTTATCATGTTTAGCAATAATTTTGAGATTGCGATGGAAATTAACTTTTTAGCCAAAAAAAAAACTTTTAAACTTCAATAGAAAATGGGAGCTTAATGCTTATAATATGATAAAGTTTGATATTTGCACAAACAAAAATTGAAAATAAAAAATAAAATTGAAAACTTTATATTTGACAAACTTTAAATTCACCATATGTATTATTACGAAATTTTCTGTTGCTCATTTCCGAAGTTGGAAACAGATATGGATAGAAAGGTGGGTTTTACTCATTTTCAAATTATCAATACCTTAGTAACTTTTACAAATGGCAATCAAAAGCTTTTTAACATTTAGTTGCAATATTTCTATGCAAATTTCTGGTTTATTGGCTAACCATCTATCAAGATTTTCTTTTGTTTCAGATGAAATCTTAAACTATCACTCTAATTTTAAATGTAAATGAAATGGGGAATAAATATTTTCTTTTGAAAAAATCAAATATTTTAGATAATTATTTATTTTTTAAAATTTTTTGTATAAAAAAATAATTTTTTAATAAAATATATTACAGGCGTTAGAATTTAAATCCAAATTTGTTGTGCTAACAAATTTGTCATAATTTTTGTTTTGTTTCTAATGTATAAAATATTTCTTTTTTTTTAAGGCAATTTTATTTTTATTTTTTTATTTATAAAGAAACTAAAATGAATGCAGTACTGATCTCATTTCAAAGCATTCATTATTTGATTTAAGAAATACGATAAAATAAAATAAGAGTTAAATATAAAAATGATCTCTCTATTAAACACTTTTAATCAGTTAGTTTTTTCACATACCAAGTTGATTTGAAATCTTTGTTATCAAAATGAGGTGTCTTTTAATCTTTTTTTCCTTAAATAAGATATTTAACCCACAGCCTACATGGACAAAACAACTACATGAACTGAATTTTTCTTTTTTTTTAAATTAAAATTTCCATTTTTATACAAAAAATTTAGATTGATTACAAAAATAAAATATGAAAAAAAAATTCTCATGGCTGTGCGATATGAACCGGTGGTTCATTCCTAAGGCAGTTTCGCCTGATCATCCAAAGGAGTTCTCTATAGCAACTCCGATTGTCGATCAAATTGCTGATCAGAAATGGACTAAACTAATAAAACAGCCTAAACAAAAATGCTGAAGGCAACGCATGAAAAAGGAAGAATGATGGTGAGAAAGCCTTCAACATTTTAATAAGGGGTAGGAGAAATCGAAAGCAGACATTGAGAATGCCAATCATTTTTTTTAGTCAACCATATGACTCAGTCTTTTAAAATTATATATAACAGTCTTTTAAAGTTATATATAACAGAGTCTTTCAGAGGAAGTGAAGCTCCAAAATCTACTAGCTTTTGTTGAGTGAAAAATGTACAGCTAGTTCTACATAGCTGAAAGCTTTATTTCTTGCTGACTTAGCATAGCAGGATTATCAAGAATGGAGTAGAAGAAACAAACTTCAATCAATCTAATGAAAGGCAAAGACAAATCTTTCTAGCTTCATGATAACAAGCTGCATTGCCCGTTGGATTTATGATCTAAAATGCAGGTTGATTTTGTTTAACACAGGCCAGTTGTGCCTTTAGCTTTCCATTTGAAAATGTGCTCACTGGGAGAAATGTATGTGCATGGCCTGTCTCATTGTGTTCTATTTGTTTTGGTTACAGTTACAGTTGACAAACTAATCTTTCTGTTCCGTTTGTGACGAAGGTCGACAGGAAAAAAGGAACAAAAGATGAAAAAAAAAAAATTAAATAGCCGTGTGAGTATGACAGTTTTTGCCAGATAAGTATTTACAGTACACAGTTAATGTGGATTGAAATATGTTATTTAAGGAAAAAAAGATTAAAAGTATTATTTTTTGAGAATAAAGATTTTATTTTATCTTACTATGGAAAAAACTCTTTTATCAATTTGATACATAAAGAAATAAATTTATTAGTTTAGTATTCTAATTTTTATTTTGTCATTCACTTTGATACTTGAAACTAACATCATCAATTAACTTACTGATGTAACATAAATATTAAATAAGATGTTGATACATGTTAAAAATTTTATCAACCCCACATCATCTATTAAAAGGAAATTCTAAAAACTTCTAAAATACTTTATAAAAAAATTGAAATATTTTTCAAACTATAAAAAAATTAAAAATCTGAAATATTTCAAGAAATTACAAAAATATAAGAAACCTTAAAAAATTCAAAAGAAAATCTCAAAATTTGAATAAAAATCCAAAAATATGTTCAAAAAATTCTGAAAAAAATTTTAAAAATGACAATTTTAATGCAAGTAAAATTTTCTTAAAATTAAAAAGATTTACAAAACTTAAAAATTGAAAATAAAAAGTCTAAATTTTTTTTGAAAAAACAAAATTTTTTTTTTAAATTGTCAAAATTTTAAAAAAATCATGAAATTTTTCTTTTTTTTTAATGTTACAATTTTAGTTTTTTTATATACTTTTTGAAATTTTCAGAATTTTTTTAAAAAAATTATTTTTTTTTAATTTTCAGTTCCTAAGGTTTTTGGGAATCTTTTTTCAAATCTGATGAAAATTATATTTTTATTAAAATTTTAGGTTTTTATATTTTTCAGATTTTTTTAAATTATTGGATTTTTATTAAAATTTTGAGAGTTTTTGAAATTATGAAAATTTCATAATTTTATAAATTTTAACACTATTTCAGATTTTTTTAAAATTTTTTAAATATTTCAGATTTTTAAAATAATTTTAATTTTTTTTTGAATTTTTAGTTTAAAATTTTTTTTTAATGCTAACATGTTAATATATAATATAATATTGACTCAACTTCTTTTTATATGTTTTAATATCTTATTGGATATTCATATTAAGTCAGTAAGTTGACTAACATTATTAGTCTAAAGTACCGAAGTGGATGAAGAAATAAAAAATTTTAAAATATTTAAAATATTTCAGATTTTTTAAAAAATTTTAAATTTTTTTTTGAATTTTTAGTTTAATTTTTTTTAATGTAAACATGTTAATATATAATATAATATTGACTAAACATTTTTTACATGTTTTAATATCTTATTAGATATTCATATTAAGTCAGTTAGTTGGCTAACGTTATTAGTCTAAGGTACCACAGTGGATAAAGAAATAAAAGTTAAAGTATCAAATTGATAATTTATTTTTTAAGTATTAAATTGACAAAAAATTTATAGCATAAGAGTCATTTTTATATTTAATGCACAAAACAAATATTTACAAATTCACGTTAAAAATCCACTTATATTTTCTAAAAGGTTACGATTGATTTTATTTTTGTTAATAAATAAAAATTATTTACAGATGCACGTTAGAAAAATACTTTTAGGATATTTAGGGCCTGCTATTTGGTCTCTATGGATATATATATATATATATATATATATATATATATATTTGGGTTTTGTTAACTTTTTGTCCAACAACAAAAAATCGAAAATGTAATGACAAAATTCAATAGAACTAAAAGTATAGTGCAAACATCTCTGTCGAACGCCGGCAGACTGTCTCGTAATCAAAATTCAATCTTTATAAATATTAAGTATCAAAACCAAAAAAACAAAAAAGTATTATGCCAAAATTAATAAAATTAAAGTATACATAGTAAGAAAATTAAATATTTGATTAATAGTATAATAATAAATTTAACCTAAATCCTAATAATATATCAATAATACAAAAAAAAAGTTATATTAATTAGTAGTAATAACTTGATTTTCGTCACCGGTTGCACATGAGTTTTTGACCAAATAAGATTAGCAAACGACAGTAGCTCATTACCTTTCAAATGACAATGATTTTCTATCGGTATGTATGTTATATTGTTTTCTTCAATTAATTAAATTAGAGAAATAATACAAAAATACACTTGACAAATGCCTTTAATCTACCCTTTTAACGTATTCCAAGGTCTATTTGCACATCTGTTTTCACATACATGGACCAATGTGATAATTTAATATTGAGATAATATCACAAATTTTCTTTACATTATAATAAAATATTTCATATAATTGGTATTTTAAAGATTATTTGTTTGTCAAAATTTATCATTTTGAATTAATCACATTAGATGTTAATATTTCATTAGATAATGGATTCATAATTTAAATATCATAATAAAAATTTTTAAATTTTTAATATTATATCGTATATTTCATTATAATTTAAGTCAATTATATTTTGTATTATTGAAAAAAAAAATCTGTATTCTCTTTTGATTCTACCAACCCGTCTGGCCGGCTATAAACCGTAAACCATCAGAATCACCAATCAAAAGAGTTAAGTTGAAGACAAAACTTGAAAGACCATATTACCAAAAAAAAAAAAAAGAACGATAGCTCAAAGCATATATAAACAGGCTTCACAAGCTAGAGAACTCCAAGAAAAAAAGAAAGATGTCAGCTGAAACTGTCCCCCTCCCTTCCATTACTGATCCTTATGAATACCTTCAAATCAGCCTCAACCCCGACGGCACATTAACCCGTAGGCCTAACGCCTATCCAAGAACTTCAGCCACACCACTTTCCAACATCTCCACCGAAGTTCTCTCAAAGGACATTCCGATCAGCCCAGAAAAGAACACTTGGGCTCGGATTTTCCTACCCAAACAAGCACTTGTTGATCCCATGTCAGCTAACAAGCTACCACTTTTAGTATATTTCCATGGTGGAGGTTTCATTCTCGGCAGTCCGGATTTAACCATGTTCCATGAATTTTGCTCCAACATTGCTAGTGAACTCCCTGTTATGGTTCTATCGGCCACCTACCGCCTGTCCCCGGAGCATCGGCTGCCGGCAGCATACGATGATGGCATGGAAGCTTTGCATCGGATCAAAACAATCCAGGATGATTGGTTGAGAGATTATGCCGATTACACAAATTGTTACTTGATGGGCTCTAGTGCAGGAGCTAACCTGGTATACTATGTGGGGTTACGTGCAGCTCAAGAAATTGATAATCTTTTTCCCTTGAAGATCAAGGGGTTGATATTGCATCAACCTTTCTTTGGTGGGGTCCAAAGGACTGAATCAGAATCGAGGTTAGTGAATGATCCTTTTTTTCCTCCATGTGTTAGTGACTTAATGTGGGAATTATCCTTGCCTATTGGCGTTGACCGTGATCATAAGTATTGCAATCCAATGGGAGGCGGTGGCAGCTTTACCATTTTGGAGAAGATCAAAAGGTTAGGATGGAGGGTGTTGGTTACTGGATGTGATGGGGATCAATTGATAGACCGTCAAATTGAGTTGATGAAGATGATGGAGGAGAAGGAAATACAAGTGGTAGGTCGTTTTGGTGTAGGAGGTTTTCATGGGTTTGAACTCGTTGATTCCTCCAAAGCAAAGGCATTGCATGTTGTATTAAAGAATTTCATGTTATCTTCAATGTAATCTTTCTTTATATTAATTAAACAAAAGTTTGTGGGAGTTGTTATTGGAATGTATTTGTTTTTTTTTTTTTTGTCTTTTTTTATATGTAACAAGTATCTAAGTTTTGTTTAAACATAATTTATTTTTGAGACAAACTTAATAATACACTTTTTCAAATTGATTTAGTGCATTCACGATTTTATTCTCAAAGTGCAACTCATAAAAATCAAACTTTAGTTGAAAATAAAAAGAACTCATCTATATATTTACCAATTAGATTAACTCTTGTGGATAATGATATTGGTTCTATGTTATGTCAAAAAACAATAAAAAATGAAATATATAGCGTAATTTTTGGATACATGAAAGAAAATATTGTGATTGTAGGGAAAGTGCATTGGTTGAAGGAAGATTAGAGGAAGTAGATAATGGTGCAATGCCATTGCAGTTGAAATCACCCATGAACACAACCTTCGCCTAACAAAATAAAATACTAGGAGTGGATTTTTGGGATGTAAAAGGTGTTAGTAAAATACTAAGATATACAATGTAAGAAAGTAAACTTATCGAACCTTCGGTTAAGGTGTTTAATCAGTAATTTTAAGAGTATATTGTGACACTAAAGCTGCCACTTGATGGTGCAACAAGCTAATAGCAGCCTACCCTCTAAAATACAAGAACCGTCTCTTGTAAGTGTACACTCATAATAAAGAACTCAACAAAATGCTCACAAATACATGGCCACCTACTGGAGAATAAAGCTACAACGACATAACATCCATCCACAGCCACGCATAGGACATGTTCAATATGTTTGTAAATTTAGCCAAGGAATCCGCAAAGGACTTTGCTTCCCTAAAAGTACGAACAAATTCGACCCCTCCAATCAGCTATGAGTCTATCGACTTAATTAAGGATTTGCCACTCCTTCCACGGTCGCTGATCAATATTAACCACCCATGAAAGCGCCACTTTAAAATCAAATTCCACCACAAGACCCTTGACTTTAGGCTTTAGCCCATGGGGATTATATACACATTGCCAGAGCTTATTTTATTGAAAAGATCTCTGCAAAATTTTAACATCTAATACTACGAGGTCCATACAAAATGCCCAGAATCATACCTTTCTCTTCTCTTAGAGCACAACCACACCCATCCAAACCAGGAGACCCTAGAGCAGATCCATCAACATTGAACTTTAACTTATTTGGGCTTGGACACTCTCGAGGATGGCAATGGGTTTGGTCGAGATGGGTTTTTGCTCATCCTAAACCTAATCCGACTTTATATTTATAAAATCCAAATTTGATCCGACCCAAAGATTTTTTTTTTCATATTCAAACTTGATCTGATCATATATTATATAAATCGAGTCGAGTCAGATCGGATTTACCTAAAATCCGACCCCAACCTTTTCTATTATCACTCAATCTGATCCAACCCGATACACAATTTTAAAAAAGAAATCAACCCTATAAGAACGCATGGGGTCGAAACTTATTGGGGGTGAGTTGGGTTGTCAACCCTAGACACTTTCTTATTATACCTGTTCTGGATTCACTAAAGGACCATTTTATTTGTCCTTCTTTTAAGAGGATTTTGTGATAAGTGTTGGATTCGGGATTTTTAAGAATAGTTGCTTATGATATATATAAAAATTATTGATAGATTTATTAATTTTATTGACAAAAAAAATATTCGAAAGAAAATGTTGATGTGTCTAAAATTTTTTTGTTTTCCAATTTTTAGAGTGTTTGAATTCTGTAAGTACTAAAAATACGATTAAAATATTTTTAATAAAATTTTATTTCTAAAATATTAAAAGTGAGTAAATAAATTACCTTAATAAATTTAAATGATTTTTATTATTAAACCTTTTCATTATTATTAACTTTTTCATATAAAATAAAATTATTAATTAATCATAATTGATTTCTCATTTATGACTTAATTAATTTACCATCATTCAACAATATTTCTCTCATGTTTTTGTTGTTTCCTTTTTCATTGCCATAAATAATTAATGAATAGGTAAGACCACCCTAATATTACATGTGGATCCGCCCTTACTTGTATCCGCTCTTACTTGTAATTATTCAATCATTTTTAAAAATTATGTAAAGGTCTATAAGTGTACAATTTTACATAATATTTTAGTAGATCCTATATGCTTTTAAATTTTTATTGATTAATTGTAATATATTGAATGTAATATATACTCGCATACTATACAGATCTTAGATGGCTGCAACAATCCAAAATCAAACAAAACTTTTAATGGGTCTCTTTCTCTCATTTTCTCTTTTTTACTTGCACTTTTTCTCTCCTTTAAAATTAAAAATATTTTTATTTATTTTTTTAATTTTTATTGAGTCCAACTAACGAGTGCATATAAACACGAATTAAGTTAAGTTAGTATATTATTTCAAGATTTTTGTTTCAATTAGTAGTCTATTCTCAAATATTCAAAAAGAAATAAATGCACTAATTACAAAATACTTTATGCAAATATATATATATATATATTAAAATTTTTAATCTATTCTTAACTTTTTATCTTAATATATATTTGACTGAAAAACATCTTATGCTTATAAACTCTTTTAAACTTATAATCAAAATATCAATTTTAATAATATGTCAACTGATTCAAATGTCACTATGATATTTTGCAAATATCATCTTAATCATCATTAATAGACACAAAGTAACATTTTGGATAGTTTATTTAGATTTTGACTACAAATGACGGCATGCATTAGGTTATCAAATTGGTTGTTTGTTAAATTTAGGACTTCAGATACAATGATTCAGTAAGCGTTTGGGGTTAAAATACTAATTTTTAGGGTTAGAAATGTAATTATGCTATAAAAATTAGGGTTAATTAGACATTTGATATGCAAACTATAGTCAAATTCTTGATTTTATGGTTAATTACACATTTGGCACCCACAATATAATTAAATTTTGATTTGATATCTAAAGTTTAAAAATTAACAATTAAATACTCAAATGTTGGTTTCATCTATTAATTTGAACACAAGATTAACATTGTTAATCAAATTATTGACATGTCCAAAACACCCAATAAAACACAGCATTTTAGATGTGGCATGTTCTTCTTGGCTATTTTAGGACATGTCATACATTTAATTAATAATGTTAGTCTTGCGAAAGCAAAATTCAAACACTTAATTATAATTTTTAAAATTTTAAATATCAGATTGAAAATTTGACTATAGTTCAAGCATAAAATATAGTTAACCTTAAAAAAATTTCACAAACAGATAAATTAAATCCTATATGATATTTTGAATATGATGTTGTTGCTCTCGTTTCTCTTATGGTTAATATACCACAATAAACTTCTAATTCTTTGGGGATCCAAACAATTTTATAATCAAATTTGGTTGCATGAAAGTTGTTACTTATTGTCTCTGTTTTGGGCGTTGCAGGGACTATAAATAAAGTTGCTGATTGGGTGGATAAAATAAACTGATTGCCCTATTGACTCTTGGCGTGAAGCCATTTTTGTTGATCTTTCTATTTGTCATGTAATGATTATTCTCCTTGCTGTTGAATTGTAGTGTTTAAGGAAAATTTTTTCCTTTCATCAAAAACAAAGAGAGAAAAGCAAAAGTAGCAACAAACGCACCGAAATTTTCTATGGACACAAACAAGGAAAATCTCAAACAGAATAACTCAAAAACTGATCCAACCCAACGGTCCTGTGATCATCCAATGCACTACAATATTCGGATATAAACCAACAACACTATTATGCTAGGCTATTAAATTATTTTCATACTAAATATTTATTAAAGTAAGAAAATAAAAACTGAATAGGGTTTTTTTTTTTGGAAAAAAATGGCTACAATAGGAATGAAAATTTCCATCGAATCTCTTTTCTACCGGTGAAAGTGACTAATCCCATCAAAATGGAGTACCAATAGCATACAGATATAACTTTAGCCACAAGATTCGTAATCCATGTGGAGATTGAAGTCTAATTTTTTTATTTTTATTTTTTTTTTCCTTTTTTATCTATCATTTTCTACTGAGGGAAAAAAATTACGCTTTAGAATTGAAAACCAGATTTTGTAATGATGGTTTCGACCCAAATTAGATCTTTATGACTTAGATAGTACAATGGCTTAATTGAATCTAACAAAAGAGTGAAGGTTTAATTGCATGTTTTGATACATTTTGAGGGCCTTTTCTGAATTTATGCTTTCAAATAAAATACTAGCTTTTTTAGGATGAGCATGAGTATTTCAATTTAACTGCAACGGCCACGAGGAATATTAATATAATATTAAAATTTTAATTTTAATAATTTTAATTTAAATTTAATAGTTTCAAATAAAAAAAAATTAACCACAGCAATCATTAACAAATGTGTGATTTATTGATAAAATAATAACTTTTTTTTACGTAATCAAGATTCAATTTTTCCGGAAACCTCAACTAACATAAAACAAAAAATTAACTACAACAATCAAATGATTGGGCCAAAAAAAATTGTGACAGTGGGATAGGCAGAGCCAACCAGGTCGAGCTTATTGGGTCTAGGCTTGCCATATATAGGTTTGGGGGTTGTAATGTTGGCCAACTTCAATCTGGATGAAAATTGTTCAAAAAAATAAAGATTAAGCCCATCATATGAATATAGACTTAGAGAACCCAACAGGCCAAAAAAATAAATGTGTCCCCCCAATGGCAATGGGCCTTAAACTGTCTCTAAACCACATTGGATCAAAAATTAAATAACATTATCAATTATTATTCCTATATTTATATCATGTAAAAATTATTAATTTCTATATTTTTATTATATTTTACATAAAAATTATATATTATAATTTATATCGATATAAAAAATATAAAATATATATTTTAATTTTATTAAATTTATATATGATTTTTATTAAAATTCTAACCTATATCATTTTTATTTTTTTATATTATCTTCATATTATGTAATTGTATCGTATGTTAAATTGTCAAATTTACATTTAA